AAAATATAGATGAACAGTGTGGTCTCTCTATAGACTTTGCAATGCTGTTTGTCAGATCATGTCCTGCTGGGAAGAAAAATTTTTTTTAAAGAGGTTTTTTTTCATTCATTTTTTTATTGGAAAGGCAGATGTACAGAGGAGAGACAGAGGAAGATCTTTTGTCCGATGATTCACTCCCCAAGTGACTGCAGCAGCCAGTGCTGCACCAGTCAGAAGCCAGGAACTTCCTTCAGGGTTCCAAGGCTTTGGGCCATCCTTGACTGCTTTCCCAGGCCACCAGCAGGGAGCTGGATAGGAAGTGGAGCTGCTGGGATTAGAACCAGCACCCATATGGGCTGCTGGCACGTTCAAGGCGAGGACCTTTTTCTCACCCATCAATAGTTCATGTTGATATCTCTGTAACAAAAAGGTAGATTCATAAGAGAAAAGCACAACAAACTTATTTGAGCAAAATTGTAATACACCATGAAAGCCTCCAGACATAAAGATCCTGAGGCAGGCATTTATGCCGTGAAGTTACCGTTTGGGAGCACATTCCACATGCAGGTGCCTACTTTGAAACCTGGCTACTGTGCTTGTGGTAACTTGCTGGCATTACACAGCTGGGGGTGGGTGGGGGGCTGCCAGTAGGAGGTGATGCAAGTGCTTGGAGCCCTGCAACTCCATTTGGAAAGACAGAGGGAGTTCCAGCCTCCTGGCTTATGCTGTGTACATCCCTGGTTGATGCAAGCAGTTGGGAGTAAAACAGTGCATGGAGGCTTGCTCTGTGCCTCCCAAATAAAATGAAAATACATAAAAAAGAGACCCAAGGAATTAGGGAAAAGTAGGAATTCATAGTTTTCATGAATTTTTCTTATGCTTAGTTTCAGTGAGTTGACAGTTGTGTAGACATGACTGGACAGGCAGGTATGATATAATGGTAATAAACCAGGAGGGGCTTGGCAGAGTATATGCAGATTGTTCTTGGAGGCTGGGTATAAAGGGCAGGAACCCACAGGACTGTTTTAATTCTTTTTTCCTTTTCCTTTCTTTTTCTCTCTCTTCCACTCTTCAGCTGTATTTGTGTGTCTCATTCTTTTTTTTTTTTAAAGAGTTTTTAGTTGGAAAGGCAGATTTACTGAGAGAGGAAAAGACAGATTTTCCATCTGCAGGTCCACTTCCCACCCCCAAATGGCCATATTGGTGGCAACTAGGAGCTTCTTCCCATTCTGACGTGTGGGTGCAAGGGCCCAAGAACTTGAGGCATGCTCCACTGCTTTCCCAGGCCGTCAACAGGGAGCTACATTGGAAGTGGAGCAGTTGGGTTAGCCCTCCTAGTGAAGGATTAGCATTGTTTTAATTCTCTTTGCTCTTAGCTGTTGATCTTTCCTGCTCAGAACGATCTAAGAGCAAGAAAAATTGTTTCAGGTGGAATACTATGTCTGTAATTCCTTTCGTGATTAGCATCACTGTATGATCTATTCCTATCTTATCCACAGTGTTGTGTTTAATATTACACTTCAGTTCCTTGATACTTTGCCCTATGCCATGCACAATATAATGTCCATTCAAGTGCTTGCTTTATTACCTGGTTGAACTCTACCAATTTGTTGCTTAAATAAACAAGAAATGCTTATAGTTTTTTATTATATCTTATTCTCTCTGGGCAGCAATTCTTTAGAAGTATAAATATCTCTCATAGTCAATAGATACGATTGTTCTCTGTCAGCTCTTTAGTACTAGATACTGTAAATTTATTTAATATCCTTAGCTTTAACATAAAGACCTTTCTTGTTTGAGTTACTTGAGAGGAAGTTTTACAGTCTAAGATTTTTTCTTTTAACATCTCATGAACTAGAATGTGAACACAGTCATGTTTTAGATACAGGTCTTACCTCTAATTGGTAACCAGTAGCCTGCAGAACAAGTTTTCTGAAAGCAATATTTTTAATGTTCCAATTTTGTGCTCTATTGAAGATTAACACTGAACCACTATAAAGCCATTTTGTGAACTTATTACCAAAGAATTTGCTAAAATTTTGGCTTTTCTAGTTGTACTGAGAAATCTAGCAAAACTTGAACAAAAAAGCGTGCACAAATCTTTTACTTCTCTTTATGACAAGTGTAAACTGTTAGGGTTAAGTGGGTGGGGCAACCGGAAGTAATTACTAAGGCCAGTGGCATTTTTGTGGTTTAATAAAGGCAGAAGCTAATTATTCAGTTTTTATTTAAGTGAAATGGTGCCAAAAAGGAGGTTCCTGCAGAGCAGCTGCACTCCTCCAGTGTTACCCTCATTTACCAAAGACACAACTGTCACAAACAAAACTTTTAAACTTGATATATAGCCACAAAAGTAAGGAGGCTTTTGTTTGGAGTGCATGCAGAAGAACTCCTTTATACAAATCAACCGGCAGATGACGGACAATGATGAAAATTTGATTCTTTGAAGTCATAATAGTCATTGAAATGTGTGAAATTCTGGTATTGAAAAGAGAGCAGCCAGCAAGACTCTAAATCCTGGGTGGTTGCAAGAAGCTTGCTGGGAGGTTTTTCTGCATTTTGACACCAACTTCCCATTGCTTGTTCCCTGCTTCCTTTGTTAAAAAAAAAAAAGGTTGAATTCACACAAGATAAATGAGGACAGTTGATAACCGAATCATACAGTTTTTATGTAGAAAATATGGAATAGTGGACATTGGTCTTTGTGTATATATACTGACTTATGCCTTATTAATGGTTTTTAAACTTATACCATTGATAGTTGATCTTTCACTTCACAAGTCTGACAAAGTTTTAGCTATTCTAAAATATAAAATTTTGGAAGAGATGGTGCTAAAAAAAATAGAACTCTGGACGTATGCTATCTATTTTTACCAGGAAAAAGTTTCATTAGAATTTCCTTAATCTGAGCGTTGTATTTGTTTATTTCTTGAAATATCATATTGTACACAGGTTATAATTCTGAAACTACTACATTAGTATAACATTGTTTTTATCAGTTTTCAGACTCATGCTTGACCAAACTGCTAAAAAATCAGAAGTGTTTACATTTGTAAATCTATCTATATTATATATAGGGTAATTTGCTTTATTGGAATTGGGTGATTATTAACTAGTACTTTACAGTCAACTTGAAAGCTTCTCATTTCTGGTGTAACTTTTTGTTATCATAGAAAATTCATGAAATGCTTTTCTGTGCAAGCTGAGTCACAGGTAGCTCAGGACGTACAGGGAAAGCAAAGTACTGGAGACCCAAGAAGACTTCAACATAAGGCCTCATAGTGCCTTTCAAGTGTTCCATTGTTTTAATGGACTCTTGGAGTGGGAGCTTTAGCCCATTGAAATGTCTCTTAAAGAACAGGTTCTTCTGTCACTGGCTGAAGCTGTGTGGATGAAATGATAACAATAGAGTGTCGGGATGCATTTTGAAAGTGTGAGAAATCAGTTTGTCTGGACTGAGAATGTGCCTACCGGGAGGAGGAATTTCAGAACTGCTGTGCCCTTTAGGTGTCAAGGATGTGAGGGATGCCAAGCCTTTTTATCCTGTCTTTGGCAGCAGCTGCAGTACCCTACATGTCTTCTGCAAGCAAACACAGTGATTCTGTTGTCAGGACAATTTGGTCTTCAGAATACAAACTCATTTGTTCAGATGGTAACTTTAAATTGCAGGAAAACATCAATAAATACTTGCTGAAATTTGAGGGGGAAGAAAATGAAAGATTGGTAGTTAAGAATTCAAAATGCCAAGATCTTACACTAGTAATGTTCATAGCCATTTGCAAAGGTTTTCTATCCTAAAATTCATCTGTCTTTATTTTCTTTATGTATATAGTTTAAATCAAGAAATAATTGTTTTCAAAGCTTTAGCACTTTGTAAATTAATTTGGGTGCATAGGCATTAAATGTGGAAGCATATAAAGTAAGTTTGGTTCGTATAATGTCATCTTCCTGAGCTAACTAGTAGTAAGAATGCATTTCATATAATTAAAGAGTAAATTTACAACTGTAGTTTTTATGAACTTAATGTTGGAGTTGCTTTGGAATTTGGAAGATGCCCCATTTCATAATTCGGTGATCTGGTTAATACTGTTTATGTATAAGCTCCTCAACTGTTGTGGATTCCCAGAGTGTTTTGATAAATACATCTATTCTTGGGCATTAGAACTCTGTACATTTACCAATTGAGTGTTTGTTACTGAATTAAAATATAGAGCAAGAGTTCAGAAAGTTGGTTTTTATCACATTTCTTCAAGGATTGTGCAGTTTTGCTGTTTTTTTTTTAGGGTAGGTTTATATACTTGAAAGTCACAGTTACAAAGATCTTACCTTTGTTGGTATTACTTTCTTGACTTAAAGTTATTTTTTATACATCCTTTTACTAGCCTCTTATTATTTCTCCTTTTGCTAGTTCACACATGCTAACAAAATAAGGATTATATTGCCTACAGGTTCTTCTGCCAGCGAACACTTTGTGAATTACTGATGCTATCTTGGATAAAAGGGACCTAACTTGTTTTAAAAAATTTTTTTTACTCCATTTCACTGTCTCCCTCCCTTTTTAAGTGAGCACTTTTTGACTGTCTCTTAATTCCATTTTTATCAAAGGCCACCTTGCTATCCTTTACAGCTACCAAAGTAGTTGTAGGGGAGTAGGTGGTTGTCCTCGTTGAAACACCCACCCTGCAGTATCTGGTTTGGTCCAACTCTAGCTCTGACTCCAGCTCCTGCACTGGCAGGCCAGCAGGCAAGGGTGAGGGCCTGAGAAATCGCGTCCCTGCCACTGTCGGGTGACCCAGTGCAGCTGTAGCAGGCACGTTGAGGGTAGTGATTTGTGGATGAGTCTCTCTTCGTCTCAAATAATTATTTTTAAAAATATCTGATTTCTATGCTCAGAGATCTGAGTAGTAATGAGATGAAGCTTATTTATAATGCTTAGCCCAATTAATGAACAATCAGGGACCAACAGAGAGATGTCAGTGAAATGTAACCTACCTAAATGTGTGTTCACTCACTTTCTCTAGGATATCACTACTTTAACTGGTGTTCCAGAAGAACACATCAAAACCAGAAAAGTCCGGATTTTTGTTCCTGCTCGCAATAACATGCAGTCTGGAGTAAACAACACGAAGAAATGGAAGATGGAATTTGATACTAGGGAAAGATGGGAAAATCCTCTGATGGGCTGGGCATCAACGTGAGTACTTGTTCAACCTGAATATTGTTTCTCTTTATTTCTTCTGCATAGTTTTTTCTCATGATTACTAACTTTTAAACTGTACACTTTGCTTATGATAGTATTTCAATCAGTTTGTGGAAAAATAGAACTAAAAATCATTTTGCTGCAGATTTTTTGAAGTCCCTTCACAGAGGGGTCTTCAGAAAGTTCATGACATAGGGCAGATATTACGAACAAATTATGCACGAGTTAAACATTTTTCCATTTATCTGTATGCTTTCAAAAAAGCTTATTTGAAAGGGTGAGGGAGAAATTAAAATCTTAACTTTCCTGTGTTATCCTCCATGTGCCAACTGTGCAGGCAAAAGCCAGATCAAAGCCAGGAGCCTGGGACTGCGTTTCCCATGTGGGTGACAGGGCCTGAGTACTCAAGTCATCCTCTGCAGCTTTCCCAGGTACACTAGTAAGGTGCTGGGTAAGAAGTGGAGCGACCAGTGAGATACACCAGCATTACAGATAGTGGCTTAAGCCACTGTGCCCCAACAAAGGACTCTCATACTTTTTGAGACTAAGTACCATTACACTCAAAAGATATTTATTGTATAAAAGTTAATATTATCACCATAAACATGGTATACAAGCAGTGAATATTAGTAATAGTAATAGTAATTAGTAATAGTTAAGTTACTGACCCTTTTAACTTGCTTTTAAATTAAATTTCCTTATGTTATAGGCAAAGAGCAGCCAGGTGAGTTTAGGAATTTGCTCATTTAAAGGAGGCTTAGTTCTTGAGACCATGTAATGAATAGAGATCTTCATGACACTGGAATCAATTCTTGTGGAGCTAGTGAAGTTGCTGATTTACATGTTTGTAACCAGATAAGGCCCAAATGTTAAGTAACAAAACTGCCTCGAGTGAAATAAAAGCTGCCGCCATTAGAATAAACATTAGCTAAATAAAATAGAACACTGTCTTTTAGATTCATGGGGCATTTTATGGGTCCAATTTCCAGTAAAGGTAGATAGCAGTTTAAATTATTTATCTTGTTTTTTAAAAGTCTGATTTTAAAAAAATATGCAGTGTTGTAATCGGAGAATTATTTTTATTAGGAAAGTGATTTATAGATGTAATCTTAAGTATTGCTTAAAAGATTTTTTTATTTGAAAGGCAGAGAGAGATCCTCCATGCACTGGTTCATTTCCCGTTTCCTTCAGTTGGGCCGGGCTGAAGGTGAGAGCAGCTTTCAGGGATCCCTTGGGGTGATAGGAGCCCAAGCACTTGGGCCATCTTTTTCTCCTTTCCCAGGTACATTTAGCAAGAACTGGCTCAGAAGTACTCCTGGGACGCAAACTGGTGTTGTGTGGGATGCCAGTGTCGTGTAAGTGGCAGCTTAACCCACTATGCCAGAACATTGGCTCCCTAAATTATTTTGATAACCTTTAGGTTTTATGTTTTCAGTAATACATGGAGTCCATCTGTAACTTGCATCCTTCCAGAGACTGAAGGCCTTTATGAGAAAGAACATCCATAGCGATATCTAAAATGTTAGAGCATTTATCCTATCCTTGGCTCATTGCAGTAGCGCATTTCCAACCATGGTAACAAATTAGAGTATTTAAGCTTTGTATAAATTGTTTCTGGGTAGATCACTTCATATAAAAATGTTCCGAGCTTGCACTCTAGCATAGTGGCATAAACTGTTACCCGAAGCATCAGCATTCTCTTTGTGGGTGCACATTTGAGTTCTGGCTGCTCTGCTTTGAATCCACTTCCCTAATACACCTAGGAAAGCAACCAAGGAAGACCCAAGTCTTGGACTCCTGAACCCACATGGGAAGCTGGGAAAAACTCCTGTGTCCGGGTTTTAGCTTGGCCAAGTGCCAGCTATTGCAGCCATTTTGGGGAGTGAACAGCACATGGAAACCTTTGACTAACTGGTTTTCAAATAAATAAAATGTTTTTTAAAAAATGCAAGTTGGATGTGAAGAAGTCATAGTTTCTTCTCATCCATTATAGGTTTGTTGCTTATGAACCTATAACAAAAGATGGATTAATAAGACAACAGTATACACAAGTTGATTTAGTCTGTTTTATGTGACCAGAATCTTTGGAAATGACAGCTCCCCTAAACAAGGAAACTTACATTTTTACATGTAAGCTTGATAGAAAGTGGGCATTTCTACAGAATTTTGACTGTGCAACTTGAGGATGATATGATAGAAATTAAGTGGGAAACCTTAGCCACTCCTCTTGGGTTTTTGTCCTTGTTCTTGCATCTTCAAAGGTAAGGAGTCTGCTTTTCCCTGGGTGTAGGATAGGTACCTCTGACCCCAGGCTCTTTCAGTGCACTAAAAAAAAAAAGGGTGTCTATTGTTTACCTTTATTTTTATTGGAAAGGCAAACATACAGAGAAAAAGAGAGGAAGGTCTTTGGTCCACTGTTTCATTCCTCAGATGGCTGGAACGGAGCCTATCTAAAGCCATGAGCCAGGAGCTGCTTCCAGGTCTCCCACGTGGGTGCAGGGTCCCAAGGCTTTGGGTCGTCCTCGACTGCTTTCCCAGGCCACGAATTAGCAATCATATGGGACCCCAGCACGTGCAGGGCAAAGACTAACCATTAGGCTACCATGCCAGGACCTGAAGAGTTCTTTTTTAAAATATTTTTAATCTTTATTGCAAAAGCAGATCAGATTTACAGAGGGAATAACAGGGAAAAGATCTTCTGTTTGCTGATTCACACCCCAAAAGGCCACAACAACTGGAGCTGAGCTGATAAGGAGCCTTGGGCCATCCTCACTGCTTTCCCAAGCTGCAAGAAAGGAGCTGGTTGGGAAACAGAACAGCCAGGACCCAAACTGCCCATATGGGATGCCAGCACTTGCAAGCCATTGTGTCAGGCCCCATTAGACAGTTCTGTTGTAGTCTGTTTCATGGGAAGATCCCATTTCTGCTGTTTTCTCAAATGCCAGGATGCCATAGTTGGATATCCTATTACGAACATCAATAGGTTGCTTAAATTGAGTTTAATTTTGCTATCCCTGCACAAAGGCTTACAGTCTTTAGTTCAGTATTGTTTAGTTCAGAAACAGTACAGTGAATTTTTAAAATGTGATTAATATTTTGCTGCATAAAAATAGCTTTCTTTTAAAAAGATTTAATTGAAAAATCAGGTTTAGAGAGAGGAGAGACAGAGAAAGATTATCCATCCACTGGTTCACTCTCCCAAGTGGCTGCAGTGGCCGGAGCTGAGTTGATCTGAAGCCAGGAGCCAGGAGCTTCTTTGTGTCTACTATGCAGGTGCAGGGTCCCAAGGCTTTTAGCTATCCTCCACTGCTAGAAGAGAAGTCAAACAGCTGGGATACGAACCAGCCAGTGCCCATATGGGATCCTGGCACATGCAAGGCAAGGACTTGAGCCACTAGACTACCAGGCTTGGGCCGCTTTAATTTTTTTTTTAATTTATTTGAAAGTCCAGAATTGCCCAGAGAGGAAGAGACAGACAAAGACTAAAAAAGGTCTACCATGCAGTGGTCCACTTCCCTAATGGCCACAGCAGCCAGGGCTAGACCAAGCCAAAGTCAAGAGCCACGGACTTTTTCCAGGTCTCCCCCATGAATTGCAGGGGTTCAGGTATGTGGCCCATCTCCCGTTGCTTTCCCAGGCGCAGTTTTTAGGGAGTTGGTTCAGAAGTTGAGGTAAGTCTTGAACATAAGTATATATGGGGGCAGCATCACAGGCAGTGGCTTTCACCTGCTACACCACAATGTGGCTCCATATTTTGCTGCTTTAAGAGAAAATCTGTGATCTTATTTTTTTATGAAAATAAAAATGTTGCTTTAATTACATACTGATTGAAAATGAGTTATGTCATATTTGATATAAAGTTCTATTCAAAATATATTTTTCTAATCTAAAAAAATTTTTGAAATAATGTCTCAACAAATCGATTTAAACAAGGCCTATTTTGGAATTTGGAGTATTTAAGAAACTCATTTCCCTTTATTCTGATATTTTATTTTGTTCTTTATTAAGAAAAAAAACTGACCTTAAATATGATTAAAATTGTAATTCATTTTATTTGTTCACCTTTTGCACTTAATGTCAAAAAAGGTAGATACTGAATTCTGACCGGTTGTGGAATATTTTAAGACAACTTTTAGAATAAGCTGAGTTTCTGGTGATCATCTGTAAAATTCTCCTGTTAACTAAGAAAAACACTAGTTGGGTTCTTAGCTGACTTCAATTATGATTTTATGTTTACTATTAATACATGAAATATGGGAAAAATTCTTGAACCTGACTCAATAAGTTCATGTAGATTTGTAATAAAATTTTAATAGGGAAAAAAGTTAATAAATATGAGTTTCAGTATTTGTCAAAGGAATAATTTTGACTGGAGCCAGTGCTGCGGCATAACAGGTTAAAGTCCTTGCCACAACACCCATTTCCCAGACAGGCACTGATCCGAGGTGTGAATGCTGCACTTCTAATTCAGCTCCGTGCTAGTGCACTTGGAGCAGTGGAAGAGGCCCAAGCTCTTGGGCTCCTGTGCCCACGTTGTGAGCCAGTTAGGGAGTGAACAGTGGATGGAAGAGCTTTCCTTTTCCTGTTCTTTGTAACTTTGCCTTTCAAGTAAATAAAAGGAATCTTAAAGAGAAAAAGAAAAAAAATAAAAAGATTGTTCACCCAAACCCACGGTTTCCCATTATTGGAGGAGCAGAACTTAATAACCATATTCATTTCTTCTGATATACTATCTCTGGCCAGAGTCTATTATATGGATGGGATGGTTTGGAATATCTAACAGATGCCTAATTCTGAGGATGAAGTAGTGTCAGAGTTAGAAGTATGTCACATAAGGAACATGACAAACCTGGGAATGATAATCTCATACTTTTGGAGTTTTTTTTTTTTTAAGCCAGCTTGCTGTTAATGCAGACAGCAAAGGATCTTATTTGAACAGTAGAAGGGATGTTAATAGAAAGGGTAAATTTTCAAAGTGATGAGTTGACAGAGCT